GTAATAATTTTGTTAGGAATTTATAAGCAAAATAGAAAATGTACTCTTACATTTCCATTGTCTTTACACAACAGAGCATATTATCTACATTGCTCTTTTCTGTTTTCTCATTTACTGCAGAATCTGTCCTAGTTCTTCATTACAGTTGTGATATTTCACTATATAAATGTACCATAAATTTGTTTAGCCAGTCCTCTACTTATGGGCAGTTGGCTTGTTTCTTGATCTTGTCTTTGCAAACAAGTTTGCAGCACCAGTCCTTCAGTTATGTCATTGCACTCCTGTGTAGGATTCACAATAAGATAAGTTCTTGCTGACCAGCTATGAAGTCAACAGTTGATGTTAGAATGTAGTAGAGAAGGCTTATCACAAAGCTTTTAAGTTTTTAAACATCAATATGAGTGTATAAAGTTATGCAGACCAACATGATCAGAAGTGTTTTTAATGTTTGAATGCAGTTCTTGGTGGGTAGTGTTGAAAATGGCCTCATGATGCTCAGGTCTGACTATTTCATTACTACCAGAGGCAGACCAGTGTTGCATTTGAGGGGTTGCATCTGAGGTCTTCGTGACTGGATAGGTAAGAGCTGATGCTGATACTAGGGGCTCCCTGACTCTCAAAATGCCAGTTCCCCAGCCATTAAGAAAGCCTGAAAGAAAAGGTGGCTATCATGTGGACAGCTGGCTTTTATTGAAGCACAGGTGTCATTGCTCTGCCCTCCTATCCTTAGAGTTAACACCTTAGCACCAGAGCTGCAGGTGAAGCCGGAACCAGGCAAAGCACAAATGAAAAACAGCTAAGCACCAAGAGATGTGTGTGACGGGTGTAGTCAGACTTGGGCAATTGATGTTTTCCAGGCTGTACCTTAACAAAAACTACTCACGTTCATTCTAGAGTGATCTTAGCATTCCTAATACATTGTTGGGTCCTAGAGAATTTTCTACCCTTCCACAGAGTTTATGTGCCCTTGAAACAGTTCACAGTTCCAAAATATTGGAGAATAGGACTTTTATAAGCACAGATGCCACTTTGTTATGAGAAGCTAAAGCAAACAAAATAATAAAGGAAATGTATAGTTGCCAGTCTCACTCATAGACTTAAGCCATCTGAATTCTCAGCAGCAAACTAGGGAACGGTTGATCCTGTTCCGCTGACATATTGGAAAAAATTAAGAGTTTGTCTTGGAGAGTAGGGTGAGGTTTGAAATGGGTGAATAAGGTCAAAAGGTGCAAACTTTCAGTTTTCAAATAAACAGGCCGTGAGTATGTAATATCCAGCATGGGACTAGAGTTGATAATATTCTATTGTATATTTGAAACTTGTTAAGAGAGTAGATATTTAAAGTTCTCATAAGAAAAAAAAGTTGTAACTGTGTCTGGTAAAATGTTAACTAGACTATTAGCATCATCATTTCCCAGTATATAATGAATCATTACATTGTGCATCTGAAACTAATATAATGTTAAATGTCATTTATACCTCAAAAAATGGGGAGAAATTGTATTTCAGATGGTAAAAGGGGGGCAGTTAATTTAAAAAAGGAAAGAATATCTCTTATGAATTTGAAGCCACTATGGCTTAAGAAAACCTTTAATGGGGGATCCCTGGGTGGCTCAGCAGTTTACCCACCCGCCTTTGGTCCAGGGAGTGATCCTGGAGTCCCAGGATTGAGTCCCATATCGGGCTCCCGGCATGGAGCCTGCTTCTCCCTCTTCCTGTGTCTCTGTCTCTCTCTGTATCTCTCATGAATAAATAAATATAATCTTAAAAAAAAAACTTAACAAAATTGATCAAATTAAACAAGCTAGTAAAAACCATAATGGTTTCAGAGGCCCGGTATACAGTCGACAAATCCAACTTACGTTTTTTAAACACCTCAAAAACAGTGTGGACAGATCTTGGCATGATATAGATGTATTATTTTAAAATCTACTTTATGTACATTGAGAAATATAGCTAATCTTAAACCAGAGAAAAATAAAGCTGTCGTTCTCTTTTTAAAATAATATTAGAAATGGAATTAAGTGTTTAATAAGAAAAAAGATAAACAATATCAAGTGATTTATCCAAACAATATTACTAGCAAATACTTTAAGTAAATCGTAAGAACATACAGTGAGAGAAATTTAGTTTACGAAAAAACCAAACATGATATGTAGCTCTTGCCTAACTTTGGCATAAGAAATTTGAAGGAAGATATAAAATCTGGTATTACAAAAGGAGTACCTGTATTTTGAACCTGAAGGTGGAAAAAGAATGTTCAATAAACTAATTTAAATGTATCTCCCTATGAATTAACTTACTAGAACATGACCAGTGCAATTCATCTGGAAGTCTCAGTAGGCAAGAATTTTAAAGAATGTTTTCTTCAACAATGTTAATATAAAATATTTACATCTCAAATTTTATAAATAATTATAACCTAACATTTTTCAAACTCTGTTGTGTTAAATTAAAAAAATAATTAGCATAGAAATTCTAGAAAGAGAATCAAACATTGTTAAGGGATTCAAGAAATGATAAAGCAATCTATCAATAAATTAAAGGAATATTTCAGTAAATATTGGTAGGACATAGCAATGATATTAGAAGAATGAATTTATATCAATAGGTTACGGGAAATTCTAGATTACCAAAGAGTTAAAGGCTATTTTTTGCTGTTTGTATACAATTATGTAAAACTGTAATAAAACACAGATGTTTATCTATATGTAGGTTTATTGAAGAGTATCCAAATAACAAGCTTGATATACTAAAATGACATTTTGTTACAATTATAGCATAAATAGTTATTTTTAGTTTTATTTTTTAAATTAGTTTTTAAAGACTTTTATTTATTCATGAGAGACACAGAGAGAGGCAGAGACATAGGCAGAGGGAGAAGCAGGATCCCTGTGGGAAGCCTGATGTAGGACTTGATCCCAGGACCCCTGGATCATGACCTAAGCCAAAGGCAGACTCTCAACCACTGAGCCACCCAGGTGCCCCTAATTTTGGTTTTATGGGACATCTCCACCCTATCTCCACTTTCCAAGGTGGGTGGGAACAGTAGAGAATGGGAGGAAGCCTAGCTTCTGACTTTGAACCTGTCCTATGGATGGCATCCGTGCATGGACAACACCCTTCCCATCCTGGAACCTTGCTTTCCCTGTGGAGAGTTACTGAGTGGATGAAAGAGAGGAAAAGTGAGAACACTCAATGAGCAATAAAACACTATGTAATTATTATATGTTACATGAGAAATAGAACACCTAAGAACATTTTAGGAAATGATTTAAATAAAGGACTACTAATATCAAGTACTTTGACAAACCGTAAAATATTTAGATTATTTTTCATTAATTAGTTCATTAATATGGGACTTTATAAAGTTCTCCCTTCAGGATTTTAATATTATGACTATGAACTAGGTCACTTTTCTTCATCTGCTTTGGAAGTGGTGGTTAGTGCTAAACAGCCGTTAATGATTACTGAGAAAGACTAATAGGCAAATACTTTCCCCTTCTCTTTAAGTATTTTTAAAACACAATAGATATTTTAGTCATCTTAGAATCATGAGTTATCAAGTATTAACACAAATACAAATTCTTTAACCATAGAAAGTACCATAGAAAATGAGAGCCTCCCCCCATCTCCTATTTTAAGAAGAATATATTGAGTATATTTTGTCACTGGTTCTTGGAGCATAAATACTGAGGACTGTTTATTTTCCTTCAAGAAATTACTATAGCTTTCCTCCTCTGAAGAATGTTTTTTAAAGAAATCTGATAGATTTCTCTTTTTTTTAAAGATTTTATTTATTCATGAGAGAGAGAGAGACAGACAGAGGCAGAGACACAAGGAGAGGGAAAAGCAGGCTCCATGTAGGGAGCCTGATGCTGGGACTCAATCCTGGGTCTCCAGGATCACGCCCTGGGCTGAGGGCAGGCACTAAACCGCTAAGCCACCGGGGCTGCCCTCTGAAGAATTATAGAAAATAATTCCTGTCTATAAAATGTTCTTAGGTTTGCTACCACAGAATGTGAATATTGTAGGGAATGCCTCTGAGAACAAGGGAACATTTTTTTTCTCTCTCAGCTTCTTGTATCTTTTTTTCAGATTTAGTTTTGTTTTGATTACTTGGCCTACTTATTTCAAGAAGCTAAGGAGCTTGTTTTGTGTGTTCTGTTAAAAAAATTGTTTGATATTTAAAGTGACTGGGACATTTGGAATAGTTCCAACACTGAACAGTTGTTCATTTAAAGGAGACTAATTCCCAGGACGCTGGGGCATAGAAAATGAATAATCAGCACAGCATCTTAGTTGGATTTGGAGTTATTAGTATGAGCTTAAAAAAAAAATACATAGGCCCTTACTACTACTAGGAGAAGGGAAAAACAGTAAACGTTATGTTTCATAGAAAACGGAAAAGTATAGTATAAGTGCTTTTAGCACTTAAGGGGCAAAATGTGAGTAGATTTTTCAATATATGTAATGATTTACTAGAGATTAGGAAATGACTCATCAGCAATATAAATCTTTGTAATAACCTGGCCATCAGCAGGAAAAGATGGGAAGATGTAGAAAATGTGTAGGAAGAGGGAGAGGCATTGAAAGGCCAATCACTTGTGTTTTTCTTTCAGCATATGTGATCAGAATATAGTCAGGGAACTTGTCACAGGGTACTATACCAGTTTACCTAGAAAATTAGAAATTATGATACGAATATTATTTTGCACATAATTTTCATGTTTTTGGATTGCTAAATCTAATTGTTTCATATACATAATTCTCTGCCCCATGTAAATCTTTTAAAGTCGGAGCTAAAGACATTGTCTGTGTTTATAAGTTCCAAACATCTAGATAGTTGATTAATTCCTGTTCTGATCCATATGCTTTCCTTACGTAAACATAGCTTAAATGTATTTCTGTGGTTTATCTAGTTGTTTTTGAACCCAGATGGTAGTGATTATAAAAATTAAAATCACATATTTTCCTATGTATACTTATTCCCTTTACAGTTGAAAAGGGCAGGCAAAAGAATCCCAGAAGTTTGTGTATCCAGACACAGACATCTCCAGATGTGCTATCCTCTGAAAAAACACTTGAGTTGGCCCAGTATAAAACAAAATGTGAAAACCAAAGTGGATTTATCCTGCATCTCAAGCAGCTTCTTTCCTGTGGCAATATCAAGTTTGAAGCATTAACAGTTGTGATTCAGCACCTACTCTCCGAGGTAAGGATGTCTACCCTCTAAACAGTTTTTCTGATTGAATTGAGGGGTGTAGGAGGGGGGCTAGTGTTCATGCTCTTGTCTTGTGAGTACTGTTCAGTTAATGAATGATAAGACCAGATATAATTCTTGCAATTATGCTTTGTCAACTCACTTGATACCTGAGTCATTCTCTAGAAATTTGGGATCGAAACATTTCTCCCTATTTTTTCTTTTCCAGAGTCATTTAGACCAACAATGACATAAGGTAATTGTTACATACATCTCCAGCTTATATTGGCATTATTTTACAGTTGTCTAACTGTATGTAGCTTTCCATATCACCTTTAATTTAATGCTTTGAAAAACGAGATTTATTATATTTGTGGGTCAAAGAACGCTTCTGAAGTAACCCCCATTATGGGTCTGGGGACTCTTCAGAATTTCCATCTAATTCTAAACTAGTTTCTGGTACAAAAAATGCAAAACAGGTTTTCTTTGCTTACTTATTCTTCTGTGACATTCTACAAGGATATTAGTTCAGAGACTGCTTAAAATTCATTGAGAAAACCAAGTTTCTGTGAACATATGCTACTGGCCTAGCAACAAAAACTACAAATATCTAAGGGAAAAAAAAACCACTGGGATGAGATTATAGTTAAGCTCTTTAGATTTTATTTATTTTTTTAATGATAAATTTATTTTTTATTGGTGTTCAATTTGCCAACATACAGAATAACACCCAGTGCTCATCCCGTCAAGTGCCCCCCCCCAAGTGCCCGCCACCCAGTCACCCCCACCCGCCGCCCTCCTCCCCTTCCATCACCCCTAGTTCATTTCCCAGAGTTAGGAGTCTCTCATGTTCTGTCTCCCTCTCTGATATTTCCTACCCATTTCTTCTCCCTTCCCCTCTATTCCCTTTCACTATTATTTATATTCCCCAAATGAATGAGACCATATAATGTTTGTCCTTCTCCGATTGACTTATTTCACTCAGCATATTAGAGAGAGTGTGTGCACTTGAGCTGGGGGAGGGGCAGAGGAAAAGAACCTCAAGCCGACTCCCTGCTGAGCTTAGAGACCAACCCAGGGCTTGATCTCATAACCCTAAGATTGTACCTGAGCCAAAATCAAGAGTCACACGCTTAACCGACTGAGCTACCAAGGCTCCCTCCCCTCTTTTGATATTTTTCAATCACAGTTTAAAAAGAGGCATATTACATAACATCTCAAGAAGAAAACTGTCCAATTTGTTTGTTCTGTAGTTCAGTTCAACAAATCTATGTTCATTTTCTGCAGAGGCTACTATGATAATGTTGCTGGTCTGCGGCAGGAGAGCCAGGCACTTGCTCTGTGCCTTTGCAAGTTACCAAGCTAATAGATAGTAAGATCAGTATTTGATGAACATTTTACAGCTTTGTCCAAAAATATTTTTTTGAGAAGGAGTTGTAAACATTTACCTAGTTTTTAAATTACAGTAGTATATAGTCTTTCTGTTTCTCTTTAATATGTAAGGAAGGAATTGGAAAGCTGGTTTATATAACCAAGTAAGCTAAATTGGAAACCATGTAATATCAAATGTAGGAAATAATTTGTCTATTTTCTAATAAACCAATTACTTTGTTTTACTATATCTAGCCCAGTCAATCTCATGTTCAATGCTCACTTCGGCAGCACATATACTAAAATTGGAACAATCCCATGTTCAACCCCTTTCTCTCCTTTCCCTCTCACATGAGATGAGTCACCAAGTGCTGTGAGCCCTCATTCCCACAGTTTGGCTCTCCTTCATCCATTCTTTTCCATTCATACTGATGCCAACCTTGTTCAGACTCTGGATAACTGTCCACTAGATTATGATAACTTCTTAGTCTTTAGACCTGCATTCTTTTCACTATAATCTACCCCAAGCATTGCTAACAGATTTATCTTTCAAAGCATTCCGCTCTACTGATTAAAACCTTCAGTGGTTCTCCATTGTCTACAGCTGACCTGTCCAATATGGAAGCTACTAGCTTTATGAAGCTACCAAGCACTTGAAGTGCAATGAGGCTGAATTAAGATATGCAGATAGGCGTTAAAATACACATGGATTTCAAAGACTGTAGATAAGAGGTGATGTAAGTTCCTTGTGAATAACTTTTCTGTTGACTATATGTTGAAATGGTGATATGTTGGATATTCTGGGTTAAATAAAATATATTAAAATTTAATCTTTTAAACTTTTAAGAAATGTAGCTAGTGGAAATTAAGGTTATATACATGGCTCATATTAGATTTCCTCTGGATGACTCTGGGGTATAACTTGGAATGTAAGTTTCTAATTTGGCACAAGCTGCCCTTGTTAGCCTCACCTCACTGCCTGTCTGCTCCTGCAGTATGATTAGTGAGGTAGAGGAGAAGCAAGAGGAATCTAATATTATTGAATATTTACTAAGTTTTTTTAGGGGGTGTGGGAGGCTATTGATACTTTTATTTTTGTGTTTTGTTTTGCTTTTAAATGTATTTTATTTAAATTAAATTTGCCAATATAACACCCAGTGCTCATCTCATCATGTGCCTTCCTTAGGATATTTATTTACTACATCATAGACATTCTTATTAAGTCTTGTCCAAAAACATAAGTTGGAATTTACTAGGAAGAAAATGGAGATGTAGAGCTGTTAAGTAACTTGACTATTAGCAGTCAGCTGGTTAGAGGAAGACCAGTACTTGAACTTGGGTCTAGGATACAAGAAACTCAAAATTGACTATGAACTTACTGTACATTTTCATTTTTAAAAAAAGCTTTTGTTTATTTATTCATGAGAGACACACAGAGAGGCAGACACATAGGCAGAGGGAGAAGCCGACTCCCTGCAAGGAGCCTGATGTGAGACTCGATCCCAGTATCACGTCCTGAGCTGAAGACAGATGCTCAGTGGCTGAGCCAGCCAGGTGTCCTACTTCCTGGATGTTTTCATCCTTTGTTCATATTCCATTGCTGGGCTATTGCCCTTCTCCCTAATACCTACATATTCAGTGGCATCGCATCACTACCTATGTTTAATTTACATGAATTTATTATACAAACAAGTAGAAAATGCAAATTAAATAGATCAGGCAAGGAAAGGCCTCTCAGTGAGGAAAGGCCCAGAAGTGACTGTGAGATGAAAGGTGTCTGCCCTTTCTTTGGTTCCTAAATCCCTCACGTGGCATGAACCTTCCACAATCCATGTAATCCCAGTGTTTCATAATACTTTTTCCCCCCATACAACCTGGCCCCCAAATACAAACCAAACACTTTATCAGATGCTCAGAGAAGGAGTAGATCAAACACTAGAAGAAAAACCTCACTTGGTTGGACATACTGAGAGATGTCTTGTCAGTCCACAACAGGGCAAACTCTTAATGAGTTTCTGGGAGACTTTAACTGTATGTGAATTTCATCTTGCATCTGATTTAGGTTTTAATGCCCATATAATTATAACTCCACTCCATTTCTTAAAATCAAAAACTCTCTTTTAGGGGTACCTGGGTACCTTACTTGGTTGAGCGTCTGGCTCTTGGTTTCGGCTCAGTTTTGATCTCATGGCCATGGATGCATCTGGCTCCAGGCTTAGCAGAGTCTGCTTGAAGATTCTCTCCCTCTGCCCCTCCCCTCACTTGCACACATGAATGCACGTGCGCACTCTCTCACAGTCTGTCTCTTATTCTCTCTCTAAAACAAGTCTTCAAAACAAAATAAAACAAAAAACCTCCCTATTTCCTGGTCCTTCTATTTCTCTATTCTGTTCACCTTCTGGATGCTAGGAGCACTTATATTTCTCTGTCGCTCTCTATTATACATTACAGATAGCCATCTGTACTCATTTTGCTTAAGACCAGAAGCTCACTGAGAGCAGGATCTGTGTCTAGTTCTTTCTTAGGAAACCACCCCAGCATCTATGGTAGGGCTTTATACATAACAGATGTGCAGTGTATGCCTGCATGAACAAATGAATGGACAGGGTGAACTCCAGATGTGAGATGAACATGTAAAATCTTTATGTAAATGTTCTTTGCTCTTTATAACCAATCGACAAATATTTACTGATTGCCTAATATGTACAGGGCACTATTATAAAACAGTTAGAAAGGAAAGACATAACCAGGGGAAAAGTTAAGTAATTCTGCAGAACAATTTTCCTCTTAACCCTTTGATTCTCTCATACCCATTATAGAAGTGATTGATTGATGTATAGACAAGGAGATGTAGATTGTAGATGTAGACTGATCTATATATACATATATATCTTAATTGTTTTTCTAAATGGTTTTAGAGCATTAGAGTATGGGTAAAGATGATTGATTATAGGGAATCCTAGAACCAAGACTTATCTTTTTGTTGCAAGTCTGTTTAACAACTATAACTTTCCACTTTTGTGGCAGACATAATTCATTACATAGAAGTTCTTTTTTTAAGATTTTATTTATTTATTCATGAGAGACAGAGAGAGAGAGGCAGAGACACAGGCAGAGGGAGAAGCAGGCCCCATGCAGGGGGCCCAATGCGGGACTTGATCCCGGGACTCCAGGATCACGCCCTGGGCCGAAGGCAGGCACTAAACCACTGAACCATCCAGGGATTCCCATTACGTAGAAGTTCTGATAAGTATCTCATCAATCTGGAAACTAATACCATGCTTTCTGTCTCCCAGAGGACTCACTATTGCTAGTTTTAATTTGTTCCCATTCTTGGTTTATCCTTGCATAGTTGTGCAGTGTTCTGTACAAACAGCCAAAGTGAAACCCAACGTAAAGTAGCAGCCAAATAAGGTGAATTTGGTGTGACACTGTTTACTATAAGTAAAAATCTCTCAGAACAACAACAACAAAAGAGTGGATATGATTCATTGTGTGAGTGGCAGGAAGGAGAGGTCAGAGATAGCACACATCTGAGCCATCTGACGTGACTCTTTTCTGCAAAATCCCCTGTGCTGTTGATGCTTTTCAATAGCCAACAAATTCAGGCCCATTGATGGGACAGCAGCCAGAGATTAAGTGCCTGTGTCCCAGGGCCTCCTAATTAAATTATGGTGAATCCATTTTTTCCTTGGAGCACTTAATATATTTAATGCATGCGTACAAAAGCATATTCCTATCCAGATTCCCACCTCCCTCTTTTTTCACGTTGTGTGGAATTCTGTAGGTTAAAATACAAAGAGGATTAAAAAATAATTATCTAGACTATAAAGAGTTTGTTATCTAAGGCATAAACACTGATATAGGAGCAGCTGAATAAAAAGAAACAGGCAATCAGTACCTAAGTGACAAAATGTGTTTTTATCATCTACAACTGAAGGATAGGTATCTTAAAGGGCAAGCTCCCAAAGAGAGGCAGAAGCTGACACTTACTATGGTGTGGGCACTGCAGGTGGCATTTCACATAGGATCATATATAAAACCCTTGGTTTTCCAGTATTCTGTACTGCTTCCCCGCAGATGAAGTCATCTGCCTTGAGTGATGACTGAAGAATTGAGTATGGACATTTTAGTTCTATCTAGGTATCAAGCTTCTTTTTTAAATTAAAAAAAAACAACAACACTCATTTATTGATGTGGGAGGCAGAGAACTAGCAGAAGGGGAGAAGGAGAAGTAGACTCCTCACTGAGCAGGGAGCCCAACAGAGTACTGGATCTCAGGACCCTTAACTGACTGAGCCACCCAGGCACCCCCATCCCAAGCTTCTTGAAGGTGAGAACCAGATCTTAAATTTCCTCCATGTTTTCCCTAGCATTTGGAATGGTCCTTGATTAATTGGTACAGAGTAATAACTTGCCAATCAATTCAGAAAGATAAATGTCTTCTCTAGGCTTTGGGGGGGAAGGAGATGGTGACTATGGTTGACATGGAGTATTCCCTGAAAGTTTATATAACAGGTCAGATAAAGACCATGCATCCCAGATTGTGGAGATAGGACACGCATGGCAAGCATGACTTGACCAAAACAGGAAGGGATGTGAGTCTAAACAGGTACTGGAACACTGAGGTTCATGGAACTAGGGTAAAGCTTCTTTTTAGTGTACTCCATGTGTACTCTTTGTGAGGAAGGGCATTTATGTGTACAAAGAATATGGGACATTGATCTAGCAGCCCTCTGCAGGGTCGTGGGAAAGGTTGCTTTCACTAGTGCAGGAATGAATTGGTGGAGGTCAGGACCGGGGTGGAGGTAGCAATAATAGAAGACGTGACTGAGTTTGGAACAACTCATTTAGACAAGAGACAGAGATGACCTCCCAGCTTTCCTGCCACCATGTACTCAGATTGACAGAGCTTGGGAGAGAGACATCAGTGGCTTCTGGGCTTTAGTACAGGAAGGGTGAGCGCAGTAGAGCTGGGGGGAAATGTTCACGTGGATTGAAATTCCTTGTCCCCAGAAATCTCTTTAATAAGCCAAGAGATCACATGGTATGTATTTGGGCTAAGATGTAAGCATTTTCACAAAATTACTCCTGGAAATGATATACCAACTTAATTTTCCAGTCCTCACTTTTCACATTTCTGGAAGTTTGAAAAGTAATTTAGCTTCTTGCAGCTTTGCCTTCTACTAGCAAATTAACTCTCGTTGGGAAGGGAATTTTAAGCAAGTTCCTTAACGTGTTTCAGGATTGTTTATGGGTATTATACTGTCTTTTAGTTTTCTTGACATTGAGTGACAAAACTTGCTTATATTTACTTGACCTAGATTACTAAGCAAACAAAATTAAGGCTTAAGTTTATGAGATCAGGAGAAACGTGTATTGTATGCATTTTTCTATGCTTTTCTTCCAATTTTATCCAGCTTGATTTTCCTCAGTTTAATTTCTACATTAGAAAACTCCTGACATGTTCATTTTTAAAAACCTGGACTCACTGATTTGGGATTTCAGAACCATGTAATACTTCACTTTAAAGATTAAGCATCTAGAATCCCAAGAATGGCAAAATGAACTCATGAAGAAGTCTTCCTTAAATCTCATCACTGTTAATTATCTGTAAGACAGCGTTGGTGACTGTTTGTTAACCTCCTTAGGTCTTTAGTAAGAGACCATCACAAATAAAAGCTTTAGAAGGTATCTGATCCCCAACTCTCAAATCAGCATTTCACACTTTACCTTTATAAACACCAGCGGACCATGTTCTAAAGCATCCCGATTAAATTTCGTGGCAAACACCATGCACTGCATCCTAATGTCATTTTCAATTGTAAGTCACAAAACACACACTTGGATTGCTCTTCACCTAGTTCATAGGCTCCTCTCGTCCACAGGTTTTGGAGAACAAGTTTTTCTTTTCCCCTAGTAAGTGTGATAATCTAACGTCCTCAATTAAAGAGGAGACTAAAAAGGCTCACAAATCTAAAAATAACTCCATCATCCAGGCAGAGGAGGTCAGTTTTTCTTTCCACTGTACCAGCTGATATTTAAGTAAGTGGCCATCGATCAGTCTAATGTCTGGCTCTCGTTTTTCATAAATGAAGGGCTGTGGCTTTAAGTAATCGCAGGCTGCTCGTGCCAAAGGCAGAGGCTGCAGAATCAGCTTCTGCCAGGAGAGAGGCATACGGTAACCTGCAGGACGGGAAGGAAGGTTCCCGAGGACCAATGGCGCTCCTCCTGGTAGAGCTTTGAATGTAGGCAGACCGACCGGTGGGTGGTGTGGCCACCTGTGCACTTCTTGGACAGTGCGGGGGGTGGGGGCAGTTGGAGACAGAAGCTGGAAATGGGCTGCTCCAGCAGCAAAATGTGCCTCTATGCTCCATGTGCAGCAACAAGGGTAATTTGTATTTGCTTATAGTGCTTTTCTGGAAGAATGTCAGAGACGGAGGCAGAGGTTGTCTGGAATTAGGGGGGGAATGCTTTGAATGACAAGCAACTTTTGCCCGCAAAAGACTTGGGTCTCATGATCTCTGCAATAGTGTGATCAAGATGCGGCGGGAGCTCCGTCTTGGGTGATCTAGTAAGGGCATTTTCAGAGAGCTTTGAATCCTGCTTTTTTTCTCAGTCATGCCCTGGTGGTAGGGAATCTACCTTTTAAGAAACTGTATCTATTGCTATGTGTGTGTGTGTGTGTGTGTGTGTGTGTGTGAGAGAGAGAGAGAGAGAGAGAGAGAGAGAGAGAGAGAGAGATTGCTTTGAGTTGTGGTAACTTGGAAATTGTTCTTTTTTTGCAGGATAAATAGCTTTTTCTGATACTGAAACAGTTGCCTGATTTTCTTTGATTTGTTTCTTTAACATCTCCTTACAATCATAGCTGATCCCAAATATAATAATCCTTAGAAAAATAATGTGGAATGGGGTAAAATTAGTTTAATTTTGCCTTTTTTTTTAAAGGGTCCTTTTTCACTGTAGCTTAACCACAAACTTCTATCTTCCTTTTAGAAGGATTGACCTTATAATGAAACTTTTTTATTTGCAAATACAGGACAAAGTGCATATAAGTGCATATGTTTAGAACATTAAATATTTATCTTAAACTGATTAGTGCTTTATTGCCCTTGGAGGAGGAGAATGCATTAAGACTTAAGTATGCATTTGCTGAAAGGTTCTGCGAATCAGCAATGAAGCATGGCTCAAAGTAAATATTTTTAAAAGTGCCTCAAACGAAAGTTTCATGGGGACCTGAGAAAATAAAGATTTTTTGAAACATGAATTTCCTTAACAACTAAGGGACATCTGTGTTTTTTTACAACACAAACTGTTAGCCTAAATGATTCATATCTTGGCTTCTCCATTCTGAGTCTCATTTTCCTGGTGATAACAAATGTGTGCCTTACTGAAAGGGACCCTCTTGAAAACATTAGTAACTTGATGTGTGTTTTCTGCAGCGGGAGGAAGCACTGAAACAACACAAAACCCTATCTCAAGAACTTGTTAACCTTCGAGGAGAGCTAGGTAAGAACCTTTTTTTTTTTTTTTCTGCCTAAGTTTTATAAGATGAGGGGACGAATGGAAAATTTGGTTTTCCTCTCTGCATTGTGGCTGGAGTTGCATGCTGGCAGTTGTTAGCTGTCCCACTCTGGTATCTGTGCAAACACTTAATATCAACATTTCTTTTGAATCTTGGCAGCTTGATCTCAAGTTCACAGAATTCCTGGCACTCATCTGACTAAGCCTAGCAGAGCTTCTGATGACCAAAACATGGCTCTTCCTGAAGGCAGGGACAGAGTGATTTTTGTGATTGTGTGGGTTCCTGTTAGATAATCCCATCATATTTTTTTCTGAACCTCTGTCCATATAGAAAGATGGTGAGAAAATGCCTTCTCTGATTATGGTACTCACATTACACTCGCTCAGGGCACTTTGCTAGGAGTGAGTATATAGAAAAGAAGGATGCAATGCATCCAGGGTTGCCTGTCTAAAGAAGGCCTATTCTGTGCTAATGTCACAATATGAACAGCGCTGGTGGTGAATAAGGACCCAAGTAGGGGCACTGGTGGGCTTGTGCCTCTGATGTCTGTGGCACTCACCACCCATTGCTGCTCTTCCCAGGCTGAGCTCCATTTCAGTTCTGGTCTCTCCTGGAGGGGTCTTCAGGGCTCATTCAACAGATTCAGGCCTGCCTTTTCCTACCTCAGCTGCTGTGCTGGAGTGAGCCAGCTGTCTTGGGATTCCCCTGTCTGCCACGGGCACCTCAGCCCTACAGAATCAGCTTCCTGCGTTAGCCTCAGCCAGGTCTGGAGTTGTTCATTAAAAGGCTCTGTTCCTTGCCCTTTGCAATTTCTATGTATGCTGGCAGCCTCCTCTTAACGTGTGAGTAGCGATGTGTATAAATAATGCAAAAGCAACAGCCAGAGATGAAAATTGTGTTTGTCCAGTTCTAGAAGAAGCTCTGCTCACTTTTCTTTGGACGAGACTAGAATTTCAGCACTGTAGAATGTAATTTGCTGGACTTGAAGTTTTGAGGTCTTTCTGCCCCTGCAGCACTCCACCCCCACCAAGGCAAAGATCAGATAGCCATGAATGTGGGCCCAAGGCCTGTCCCTGTTCCTCATCCCTCTTCACCTTCCGACAGGAGGCAGCCCTGAACTCCTAGCTAACCCTCCAGGTTCTGAATACCTAGCTGGGGCTTCATTTTGTCCTGACCTTATTTTAGGCTATGGAAATGAAGAACTCTTTATAGAAAAGTAATTTTAATACAAATGGAACTTCGGGACCCCAAAGACTTGTGAGTTCTAGGGGATACAGTTCAAGGAAACCACAGCTGAGAAACAGGCTCCTGGCTGTAGTGGTCAAGGCTTTCTGCCATGTTACTTAACTTGATTACCCAGATGAGCAACTTAATTTGCTTTTGTCTGTGCCTTAAATAACGTAATGGATATAGAGTGAGCAGGTCAGGAAAGAGGCCTTTTTGTGTATGTGTTTCAGAGTTCATTATGGCCCAGTGGAGATGGAGATGAGCCTACCTGATGGTTCACATTTCAGCCTCTCCCCAGAATGAGGCAGAAACGCCAGCAGAACACTGTTCTCATTCATGCTGCTTGAATGGGGGATCCTCTTCTTACCTTTTAGTGGAGAGCTCAATTAAATGATTTGAATTGGGACCCAGTTCCTTAGCACCTCCAGTTGGTCACATAGCCTGACAGGAAGTAGCCATCAGTTTGTACCTCATCTGTGATAAGGACAGTGTGCCCTGGAGTATCCAGATGCAGGGGGTGGCCTATGCCTATCGTTCAGTCACCCAGGTGGGAGCTGGGTGATGCCAAGAGTAGAGGACTCTTGTCAGGGTGATGAGTGGGAATGTCTGTCAGTGGAGAGGACAAGGGGGAATGTGACCATGCTCCAGGGGCATGAGGTAGAACTGCTCAAGGAACTACGAAAAGCATTTTGGGAATGGTTTCAGTCCTGTGAGGGGAGAGAAGAGAAGCCTTTATGTAGTTCTTCTGTTGAAACCATCCAGGACAGATACTCGGAAAGCTGCCGGTGGGATTGTGTGTAGCATCAGCTGAAATGGAAGACTATAGGTTACAGAGCAAAGTTGGAAATGCAGTTTTAAAATTTGAGGCAGTTGTTTAAAGTGGTTAGACTGTGTGGCCACACTGTCTAGGTCCAAAGCTTCAGTAGCTGAGTGACATAGAGCAAGTGACATTACAGGTCCTGAGTCCCAATTTCATTCTCCGTCAAATGGCACTAAAAATTATCTGCTCAGGGGTGTTCATGAGGAAGTAACTCACTGTAAAGTGCCTGGCACTGAGTGTTACCTACTAGTAAACAGTAGGTATTAATGTGTGTGCAGTTTACAGCTGTGTAGCAATTGCCCATATTTGCTATTTTTTGGGCAGTGACTACTGCAGCAAGGAATTGAAATTAGACCAAATATTATTAGAAATCCCTTGAGATGGGTTGGGTTTTGTTTTTGTTTGTTTGTTTTTTGTTTTTTTGTTTTTTTGTTTTTGTTTTTTGTCTTCAGACTCCAATGGCAGTGAGATGAGATTGATTCTCTCCTCGCCCAGTAGAAGTGCTTGCAGTATGGATGGAGTCCATAATCTAGGATTTCTGTCTGTGTATCCCCAGCTAGGAGTTGCTTGACTTCTTTGAGCCCAGTTTCCTCACTGGGAATGCGAAGTTATTATGTATTTTGCTGGATTGTCATGGAGCTTGGTAAAATAATAGTCTGTATGAAGCAACTGGCATACTGCCTCATCCACCACAGTCACTTCGAGAAAGCTGCTACCATCACCGTCATCCAAGTAGCCACCATTTCTCTCCAAAATAATGGGGTGGGAGCTGTTGGTGTCACTCTCCCATTGAATAATGTTTCTTCCGCTTCTCTATGAAAACAGAGGCAAAGTTCCCAAACTAAGAACTACAAAACAAAACACAAAACAGCTGAAACTTAGGAGCAACGAAACCCAAGTAGAGTCTGTGATAGTGACCTTCAGAATCTTTAATTGCCTCCAACCTGTCCTCTCCATTGACCAACTTTCCTGTTGTCTCACTCGTTAGTCTCACAAGTGTCCTCTACTGCCAAGTTCACCCAACTGAGCTCAGAACAAAACCGCAAGCCTCCCCTCCCTCCAAGGAGTCCTCTGTACTTTATAATCATGTATTTATTTAATCTTGTGCTTTCTTGTCTTCAGATAGTAAATTGCTTAATTTCAGAGATTCTTTTCTGCTTCCTATGCAAAAAAAAAAACCCAAATATATATGCTTTTCATTTTCATAAGTAATTGATAAATATTTATGGGTATTTGAAATATTTGAGGGCTTTAAAATTTCTTTTTATTTAAGGACGTTGTGCAGAAAATAAAATTGCAAAGTGAAAGGAAAATAGCCAATGGTTTTAGTACCCCTGACAGAGCTTTTATTTCTGCATATTCTCTTGTGTATTTATATGAATATTTATGACTTTATATCTTCAGTTTTTTTATGAAGGTATGACTTACAAACAACGGAATGCTTATTGACACATATACTCATGTAACCTACATCTTTATCAAGGTATTAAAGGTCTCTGTCCTCCCAGAAAATCTCCTCATGCTGTTTTCTAGTAGATGACACCCCCCTTCCCCAGAAGCAAATATTGATCTGATTTTTATCACATAGGTTAGTTTTGTGTATTTTAGAATTTCATATAAACAGAAACATGCATTATGGTCTTTTTGTGTCTGGCTGTTTTCATACAGCAAAATGGTTTTGAGATTCATCCATGTTATTTTCTGTGTATTCTGATTTGTTCAGCTTGTGTCAAACACTTTGCCATGTTGTTTTATAATCTTCATTAGATTATGCTGAATGACTTGAGAAAGTCTTAGTGAGTGGATGTAGCTTAATTTCACTTGCCCCTGTAGTGTTAGAACGAGGGTTTCGTCATCTGCTTTTATCCCATCCATTCCCCAGGTTTTAACTACAACCTATAGGGTGATGATGTACAGATTTATTTTTCTAGTTCTCTCCTTCTCAAGCTGCAGATACATTTTTCCCAGTGAAGAGCTGCCTCCAGGAGAGCCAGTTCAGTGTAATCAGACCTTTCTGACTCTCCAGCCCCTTGCTTCCTAGAACCCCTGCAGTGTCTCCTGATTCAGACCTCTTCCTCAAGGTCTGTTCATCATCATTTGCAGTGACCTGATAATTCACTCACCACCTAAAGTATCACACACCTTCTCCTCCATCCTCTACATGATAATGATCTGTGTTCTGAGTATCACCTGAATCTTTCCTTCCTCAGCCTTCTTGGCTCCTGCTGTTCTAATTTAAGCCTCATAATTTGTCACCCCAAATATATTCCAGTGGTCACCCAGCAGGTCACCTCGCTCCAGGACTGCTTCTGTCCTCTGTGCTACCAGGACTGTATTTAAAATCTCACATCTGTCCTGTACTAGACATTTTTTAACAAACATAAATGACTTAATTTGGGCTTTGGCAAAAAGTCCAGATATACTATAGGCAACGTGTATGATTTAACTGGAACCTGCCAGCCCAACTTTAGGATGTCAGGACATCCTTTTGCCTTTCTTTACACCTTCTTTCCCCTCCTCATGCCCCAGCCATGAGTCCATTCATACTTCCTTGGACCTCTTTGGCACATGTTATCCTCTCTGCTTGAAATGCTCTCTCCTTTTTCACTGCCTTTCTATTTTTGTCTCTTAAACTCCTCACTAGCTACAATACCTAGCTAAGTCCTAATTAAAATACCATATCTTTCTTCAGTTGAGTTTTACCTCATCTTTCAAGCAAGTTATTTGTGCCTTCTGTGTCCTTCAGGATGCTCTGTTCTTAGGGTCGTTTCTAGACCTCTCACAGTCCAGAGCCATGAACCCTGCAAAGGCAGCATCTCCCTTACATTTGCTGCTCCACCTGCGGATACCTTGTGCCTGGCACTTAACTACTTCAGTGAATGAATGACTTTCACATTGAAATGGTAACCAGAGAAAGTTGGTTTTATCCTTATAATA